AGTTTGGCTGTTATTTCATATATACGTAATTGTTTTATAAACTAAAGTAGTTTATAACTTTGTCTTGTTGGTCTTATGACATATAGCTTTATTTTCTTAGTTGGTCTTGTCTTATTTAATTTTGGTTTGAATCTTCTTTTCGGTCGCGTGAGCTCCATTACGTCATAATAATTCTCGGTACCGGATTCTTGGACAGGAACTATTTCATTGGCTGGATGAATGCTGACATTAACCCCCCCTAGGCTCTGAGTTTGTCGTCCCTGAACACTGGAAGATGGAGAGCCTACCAACTTAGAAGCAGTACCAGATATATCATCCATGGTTTCATCAATATCAGGAGAAAAAGCCGTGTTATTTGCAGATTCAATCAACTTGGTCATTGTTGTATCGGTTAAACTATCATTGTTGTTTGCAATTTGAAGACTTATTACTGGACTTGAGGTTTTTATAGTTGTTGCAGGAAGAGGAGGTACGTCAGAGAAACTTTTTGCCGTGGATTGATCTTTAATCTGTGGAGTAGGTTCAATAGGAGCAATAAAATCAGTGACGTCGTTTTCAGCCGTGGGTGGTAAAATAATTTTTGGTTGCAGGACCTGGTTGCCAGATTCTTTCTCAAAGTTTCGCCATTCTCTTCTTGTTTCAGTGGGATTAAACCAAGGCTCATCCGGCATTGGACCATTAGCAGCTTTAAGGCGATCGACATGAACTAGTGATTTTAACGGTTCGCCGGCGATAGTTTCCAACTTGTACGTACCATAATCCGGGAAGCTCTTGACTACCATGTAAGGACCTTTAAACGTGGGTTCCAAACCGTACTTGCCTTCATTAGTCAACATTACCATGTCACCGACCTCAAACGAAATAGGTTTAATCGCAGCATCCCAACGAACTTTATCTTTCTCAGCCATAGCTTTCATGCGAAATTCGGCAGCGGCACGGTCTTGAACAAGGGCAGCTAATTCGCGAGAAGTTAGATCGGCAACGGTACGAGGATCGTTAAACACCGTAGAGTCAATATATAGGCGCATAACATCACCAGCTAATTTAGGCTGACAACCATATGTGAGATAGTAAGGGCTAAAACCTGTAGTAGAGTGAAAACGAATTCGACACGCCCAAAGAGCAGCATGGACAAAGTCGTCCCAACAATGAATAGCACCATTGGTAAAGTTTTGTAGCATAGGTTTAATAATACCGTTGAATTGTTCGACCTTTGAATTTGTACGCGGATGGTAAGCACTTGTCAGTTTATGATTGATTAACACACGTTTCTGATATTCTTTCACCAGTAGACTACAGAAATTTGATCCTCTGTCCGTGACCAGTTAGAAAAAGTGCCAGCGTTCATTACTATCTTTTCGTAAAGAAAATCAGCAACATTCTCAGCAGAGGCAACAGGCATAACTCGGGCCACACACCAATTTGTTGCGTAATCAACACCAATAAGCATCCATCGATTTCCTTTGGTCGATGTTGGTAAGTCCAAAAATTCTAAGTGCCAACGATAAAATGCTGAAGGAACTTTTAAAGGGTGCATTACGTCCTTATGGATAAGACCTTTTCGGCTGTTCAGTTGACAAGAAGGGCAGAGCTTTAACCAGTCGATAATGTCTTGCTTCATACCTGGCCACCAAAATCGCGTTTGCATATAGTGTAGTGTGGTTTTTATACCTGCATGACCTAGGGATTCATGATATCTTGCCAGTTTATCCGCACGTTCTTCAAAAGGGAGGTAAGGAACCTTATGAGTCTTGTCATCTTTTGGATGTTTAACGTGTCTATAAATAGCGATTTGAAGAAGTACTGAAGTTATTCTGTTCTTTGTTTAACAAGTTGTTAATCTCCTGTGATTTTACCTTATCCCGTGACAGTAACGGTAATGGCCAATCCGCACGAACCAAAGGAGGTAATGTATTCCAAGCAGCATACAACATATCAGGCTCTAACGACTCTTCTTCAGGTGCCATATCTTCGGAAGCATAATTCATACGAGAGAGAACATCCCCAATTTTATTACCTTTACCAGCCTTATAGACGATAGTAGGACCCTTGGCTTCAATTTAATTAATCCATCTGACTAAACGACTTGGCAGGTTTTCCTTTGTTCGAAAATATTGAAGTGACATGTGATCAGAGTATACTGTATATCCAGCAGGACAACCATCAACGTAACAGCGCTATTTCTTTAATGCATGAATGATACCTAAAAGTTCCTTTCCCTGAGCAGGCATACGAAACAGAGAGGGTGCCAAGGTAAAGTTGGGTCATTGTCAGGTCGATATAAGACAGCTCCACATCCATGGTCAGACCCATCAACTTCAATCTGGAAAGGTTTGTTCATATCAACAATTTTCAGGACAGGATTAGACATCAACACCTTTTTCAGAGTATCGAAACTGGTTTGGCATTCAGGACTCCATATAATAGGACGCTTTTCATGACCAGTGCCAAGAGTAAGATCAGTGAGAGGTGCTGCAATAGAAGCAAAGTTTTTAATAAATCGCTTGTAAAATTGTGCAAACCCAATAAACTGTCGGAATTCTTGAACGTTGGTTAATTTTGGCCATTTTTCTAAAAATTCCAGCTTCTCCGGGCTTGGTTTTACGCCATTACGGGAGACATGGAAACCAAACAAAAGTCAATTCCTTTTTACCAAAATTACATTTCTTGAGATTCACAATGACCTGCTCCTTCTTGAGTATTTCCAGGACATGTCGAACATGTTTTTTATGGTCTTCTAACGAGTCACTCCAAATAAGGATATCGTCCAAATAAACTAGTGCAAATTTATCCAAACAGTCAGCGAGGACATTATTTATGAGTCTTTGAAAAGTAGGTAGTGCATTTGACAGGCCAAAGGGTAGAACTAGAAAAGCGAATTTTCCATACCGGGTGTTGAAGGCTGTTTTGTCTACATCTTCGTCTGCGATTCGCAGTTGGTGATATCCAGATTTCAAATCAATACTTATGAAATATGTTGCGCCTGATAGTCGTTCTAGACATTCATCTGGACGGGGTATACTCGGGGAGTCTCTAAATGTTAATTTATTCAACGCTCTGTAATCAATGCACATTCCGAGTTTACCAGGTTCCTTTGATCTAGGTTCAGGTTTATTTCGCACAAATAATACAAGAACCCCCAGGGTAAACTGCTTGGTTTGGTTAGTCCCAATGCCAGTAGTTCTTGAATCTGCTTCTTTAGTTCGTCCAGTTCTAAAGGTGACATTTTAAATGGAAGTCTTGAGATGGGCCTTGCATTACCTGTATTGATAATGTGCTCGATACCGCGATCGGGAGGTAATCCAGGTAAGTCAGTCTTGAATACTTCACTAGAACCTTGAATTAAAGAGTCCCAGTATTTGTCATCATCGGTGCGATTTAACGCCATATCATTTGGAGAACCAACATCCCGTATACAAAGCAAAAATCCATTCGCAACCTTCTTTAGATATCGGTCAGCTTGCTTGTGGGAAATTAAATAACTAAGATCAGATACAGAAGTGAGTGACGAATGATTATAATATGCATTTGTTTGTGGCTTTAATAATGTACTTCCCTGATTGATAGACCAAGTATCGGCATCCCAATCTGGTTTAGGTTTTTCTCGTTTAAGCCATGATCGTCCCAGAATGAGATCAAATTTGGTTGGAAATACGTAAATATGATATACGAATGACAGTTGGATACAGAATGCTATACCACTGAGTTACGATATCACCGATCGAGAAGAGAAAGTTCTCCGATCAAATCACAAATTATAAGAAAGATAAACTTAATATTAATAGTTCTCTCAATAGATTAGCTACCCAGAGAGAGAATAGAACAGCTATTAATATAAATGGTTCATTTACTAATATATTGAAATAATTATACTGCAGATAAAGAGTATGAAGAAATAGTGTATGAATTAATGGATACCTAGCTTCTACAACCAAATATACAAATATCGATAAGACATTTTATATTTGGGATCGTAATTTATTCATTACAAAGATAATGAACAAATGATCAACTATTATGCTCTATTGCCAATTACACTTGACAAACAAGTATGCATCTTTTACAGAAACCGTTGCATGATCTGATAAATAAGTGTCTCGTAAAACTAAAGATTTATTAGAATACTCATGCTCCCGATCCACTGATATGGGACAACGTTAACTGGAAACAACTCTAGCGAGAAGTATCCATTTAACCCAAGGCGGGAAAAAAAGTATAGATCTATTCCAAAACCAGAAAGGTTGACTTATCGTTAAAACTCAGGAGAGTTGTGCAATATAAAAAGGATCAATTATTTCATAGCAGCAGAGTTCTTTTAGTCTATTTATACCTCTAATAAAAATATACTTTTATCTCATTACTTTTCTATGTAATACTTTGTCAAATACCACAGTAATTACAATTAATGTAAAAGATATAGAAGGCCGTCAAAAAGCCAGAATGTTAATAAACTTCATCTTAATTTTATCTCTAAATTTCAGACCTGTGTATAGTTTCGTATACTATTGGTTTCTCGCGTAATTAAATTATTTCTATTAGCCGTCCAATAACGTAAGTGTACTATTGCAAAAATGGACCGTTTTGTTGTATGCGAGCTGTAAATACACCTTAGCTAAGGTAATACGCTTGTGCTACGACGATTGAAGTATTCTCACTGCTGTCATATTTATCATATGTCAGCTGGTAATTTCAGAGTTCACGTAACACCAAATGCCTATTCAAGTACGGGTTGTTTATTATATTCTCCTTACTGCTCCTTGCGGGTTTATTGACAGCTTGAACAATATTTGGATATAATCTACCCACGATGGCAGGGTCCCGCTTGTAGTTTTAGTTGTATTCATTATGTATAAAAGAAATCATTATTTTTATGTTCAATAAAATTTAGTTCCTTTTTGCAATCTGGTTAATACTTTGTCTTATTTTCTATTTTGGATTTTTGGATTTTTCATTTTTTTTAACCACTTGTTATAACTAAACTTTATCGTTCATAAACTTAAATGTCTACTTTGTTACCTACTAGCAATGGATCTGCTGATTCTGGTGGAGATCGTGATACCCAGGATGCAAGGGATGTGCTTCTGACTAATGTTGGTGTTGAAGACTCGGTGGATGATGATGATGGTTCTGCTCATTCAGACATGGAAGATATTGAGACAACTTTTGATCAATCTACTAATTTGGCTGCTGATCTACCTGGAGTTGCGGTGAACGGTGCTGTGGATGATGGCTATATTAATGATATGAAAATTTCTATTTCATTGGCTAAAGCTGAAATTAGACAGCTATCATTGTATGTGTCTTCGGCTCCTGAAAGTGACTCTTCTTTAAGAAACAAGCGAATCCGTTTGAATAGGCGTACAGAAGATCTTGCTATGATGAATAAGGCGTATTTGTGTGGTGAAGAAGCTAATGAAACGACAATCAAGCATGCGCAAGTTTCTAAAGTTGTACCAAGAAATTTACCTCTTTTTCGCTGGGAAGGTTTGGCTGCTGCTGGACCGGAAGGTCATGTTTTTGTGGATGTGAAAACCTGTCTCATGAACTTCGTGGATGTCATGAACAGTCATGGTTTAGACTTAAACGATAATTATCTCAGGCTTCTACCTCCTCTGTTATTTGGTACTACTCGTATTTGGCACGAAGACTACATCAACAAGTTTAAATCTGCATATCAACGGGTTCCTAACTGGCAAGAATTCTCTGTGGCAATCCAGGAAAGATACGGTCTTAACGCCCAAGAAGAACGAAACAACTGTGCTCGGGAGTTAAACATCATTACTATGTTACCCACGGAAAACATGGAAGCATTCATTGATCGTTTTAACAGCTTGCGTAGACGTGCGGTGGATCAAGTCTTGCCTGACTCATTGTTGGTGGAACGTTTTCTTTCTGCTATCCCCATTACCCTATCTAATCAAGTCACTGTAGCATCTGCGACATTAGCCACGTACAAACAGAATGATGTCGATATTATTGCTGCTTTGGCAAGAAGTTTTTTTAATCGCTTGGCTCGTCAAGAAAGAGCTGCTGCTGCTGCCCGTGCTAACATTCATCCTGGTGAAGCTCCTCGTGCCCCGAAGAGAACAGCTGCCGCTATAAACAACAATGAACATCTTCATCAAGATTCTCTTTTATCAAGACATGCTCCTGGTAACTCGTCTATAAATAATTCTACAATTATGGCTCCGGCCCCATCTCGTGCTTTTTCTACTCCTCGTCCCCGGACAAGAACTGAAAAATATTGCAGCTTTCATCGAGCTAATACTCACAACACTGCTGACTGCCGAGCTGCTAACGCTCAGAGCAACGAGCAAGCGCCTTCTGGTATTGAAGACAGGAAATGCTACACTTGTGGTGTGTCTGGCTGGACAAGAGCTCACGTATGCAATACTGCTCGTAGAGAAGAGATTACGCCAGGACAAGAATACAATTTTGGTGCTATGAGTTTCGGGTCTGAAAGAATCGTCGGTAACAATTACGCAGCTGATGCTGTTGCTACTGCTGAGCATGCTGCTACAATCGGTGCGTCTAATGCTTGGGCGAATGTGAACAATACCGCTGGAACTATACTTCAGCATGCATCATCTTCCGCAGGTGATAGGGCTCATATTACAGCCGATGCTAGAGAATTGGCTCTTTGGGCACAGCAATGTAAGTTTCATAGTGTATTTAGTCTGCCTCCAGATAACAAATCTAACATGATTATTATTCCTGTTATTATACAAAATATTAGAACTTATGCTATTATTGATACGGGTGCTACGTTCAGCATGATCTCTCCTTCCTTTGCTTCTTTTTTGGGCGATTCTATTGTCATTACTCCTTCTTCGGGAACCGTGCAGTTAGGCCATGTCAATAATTTTTGTGATAGAAAAGGAAACGTATCAATAAATATATTTTACAATAACAAAGCTTTCATTCATAAATTCGAAATTTTTGACTTTTTTAAGACTCATAATAACAGGCATATTCCAGCTTTAATTGGTATGGATTTATTTCATCAATTACGTATTGGGATAACGGGCCTAGCTATATCACATTTTGATTTGCAAAATAATAATCCATTTCCACCTTCCCCTGTTGATCCTATCTCTAAACCTAATAACAGTCCTTTCGGAACTCAAGTAGAACGAGATATCATGCTTTCAGTATTAAATCCTTTGTTGCAGAATAATGCCAAGATTGATATGAAAAACACTTTTTGTAATCTACCGGGAGCAGTTATCCATTTAAATACTAAACCGGGTTGTATTGCATTTAAGAAACAATATCCTTTACCTTTCGCATATGAAGATGCCGTCCGTAAGCAAATTACTACCTGGTTGAATGAGGGTGTTATCGAAGTTGCTACTTCACACACCGGATTCAATGCTCCATTACTCGTTGTCGGACGAAAAAATGCAGATGGTATCTTTACCTTTGATAAAATAAGATTAGTTACTGATGTACGTAATTTGAACTCTATCCTTACCGTAACAGATACTCAAAGTTACCCATTAATCAACGAAATTATGAGCCGAATCGGTGGTGCGAAAATTCATACAATTATTGATATCAAATCTTGTTTCAACAGTTTCCTTGTTGCAGGCTGAAGATCGTCATAAATTATCATTCACTTGCCCATACACTAACCGACAATATCGTTTTGTCAAAATGTGTTTTGGTGTATCGTTTGTGGGCAATTTAGTTCAACGAGTATTACAAGAATTATTTGCTGATCTTCCCTACATTCAAGTTTACGTAGATGACTTAACAATTAGCACGGATGGTCCACTTCCACATCATACCAGTTGTGTTGCAGAAGTATTACGTCGGTTGACAGCTGCAAATTTAGTAATTGCACCTGATAAAGTGGTTTTAGCTCAGACTAGTATCCATTTATTAGGGTGGTCCATTGTTGAAGGTGGTGGTCTAATCCCGGATCATCGCAAAGTAAACACAGCTTCCGAATTCCAAATTCCCACAACTACGAAGAAATTACAATCGTATCTTGGCTATATGAATTTCTTTCGAGCCTCTATTCCTATGTATGCCCATATTAGTGATAAACTTGATAAATTACGTAATGTAAAAGACTTACAAGCTGCGTGGACAGAGGAACATACCACTGCTTTCAAGAACATGAAAATCGCTCTATCCTCAGCTCCATTAATTCATCGTGTCGATTATCAATACCCGTTACACGTTGCCACAGATGCATCTAACACTGGTATTTCCGGTGTTTTATATATGTTGGTCAATACAGAAAAACGTTTTGTTGCTATGGCCAGTCGTGCATTAACTACAGTAGAATCATATTACAGCACTACACGTCGTGAATTACTTGCTATCATTTTTTGTTTTCAACGATTTAATAAATGGCTTGTCCAAAAGCATTTTACATTACATACAGATCATCGATCGCTTATATACCTTCACAGTCAAGAAGTGCCTAACCACTTGTTGCTAACGTATTATGAAGCCTTGTTTAGTTTATCGTATGATGTTGTTCATTTGCCAGGTCATTTGAATGACATTGCTGATGCTGGTAGTCGTTTATTTACGGAGGATTATCATTTGGAGGGGGGAAAGTTAGTGGATGAAACACAATCTTCATTTATCCTCAAACGTAAATCAAAACAAGATAAGCCGCAGGAATATCAGTCACATTCTTCTAAATTTCCTAAAATGCAATACAAAATAAACAAGAGAAAAGCAGCTCCACAGCTTAACATATCTTCTACATTTTATAAAAAAGCAATGCAAAATTATGGAAAGGAATATATACTTAACGTAAGAAAACAATCTGAATATAACGCAAAAGACATATTACCGATGAGTACACATACCTCTGGAAGTAACAACGTACCTCTTATTAGTCGATCTATTCAATTCGCAGATTATATAACACCACCTTTGAGAGAACGAGATGACATTATAAACAAAGCTCATTTCTTAGGGCATTTTGGTATTAATGCTGTAGAGAATACAATACATAATGACTATCAGCTACATTGGACAAATATGAGAGACGACATACAACGTATTATATCAAACTGTGACGCCTGTGCTCGTTTCAATATAGCTAAAGTTGGGTACCATCCCTTTCGAAGTGTAGCACCTGATCAACCACTCGATCATTGGAGTATGGATCTAGGTACATTCAATACTACGTCTGCCAGTGGAAATAATTATATGTTGGTGATGATTGATCACTTTAGTCGCTTTACTATATTACGAGCTCTGCCAGATAAAACAAGTTTAACAATTGCAAAAGAATTGCTCAATATCTTTTGTTTATTTTCATTCCCACGTGTGTTGACACATGACGGAGGCTCTGAATTTGTAAATGAAATTGTATCACAATTAGTTTTAATGAGCGGCATCGATCGAAGATTATCATTACCATATACTCCACAAGGGAATTCAGTGTGTGAAAGATTTGTTGGGATTGCTAAATCCAGCATAGTTAAATTATTAAACGGAAAGAATGACGACTGGGATCTATATCTGAATCCGGTACAACTTGCTATGAACATTAAATACTCCAACTTACACAAGTCTCGACCTTACACTATGGTTTTTAATAGACAACCTAATGATTTTAAAGATTATTCGAATGACGTTCCTACATTATCTTTAGAAACAGCTGACACAAAAAAGATTCGTGAAAGGTTACTATTTGCTCAAAATGTTGTTATACCTTTAATTGCAGAACGTATAAAGAAGACACAACTTGACGATCATACTCGATTTGAAAAAACACATAAAATCATTAGAGACATGTATCCTATCGGAACTAAAGTTATGATCATAAATGTACATCGTAGTGCTAAAACACAAGAAAGATATACTGGTCCTTTTATAATCAAAGGATATACAAAAAATAAGTCATATATATTAGAAGACCCTGCTGGTAATCTGTTATCTAGAGACGTACCAACACAGCAAATTAAAAAAATTCATGATAATAAACCTTCCCAGAATGAGCCAGCCGATGGTCATTATGAAGTACAGGCTATTAAAGCTCATAGAGGAACTCCTAATAATTATGAATACTTAGTACATTGGTTAGGATACAATGACCCTAAAGATGATACTTGGCAATCCGCGAATGACTTTGATTCTAAACTACATATTGAATTATATTGGGCTAGACGTAATGCCGGAAATAATGTCAATACTTTACCTGTAACAGTTAATAATACTATCCGTAAAAGAGCTACACGTGATAAACATAGTAACGAGAATGCTCGTATTCTCACTAGATCTCAGAAATTGCTTATATCTCAACAGCATTCTAAGTAATTGATGATACCTTTTCCCAAACTCTACTTTTTACCTTATAAAGGTTTTTTATAATATTATGGGTTTTTAACGGTGCAAATCATTACTACGATCCTTTCTTTTATTTTCTTATTTTTATTATTTTCTTTTTATTGCATATGAAACAACTACCATTAAGAACTGCGAAACACGTACACTCTAAAATACTTTCAATCTGGTTGGGGGTAATGTTGTATGCGAGCTGTAAATACACCTTAGCTAAGGTAATACGCTTGTGCTACGACGATTGAAGTATTCTCACTGCTGTCATATTTATCATATGTCAGCTGGTAATTTCAGAGTTCACGTAACACCAAATGCCTATTCAAGTACGGGTTGTTTATTATATTCTCCTTACTGCTCCTTGCGGGTTTATTGACAGCTTGAACAATATTTGGATATAATCTACCCACGATGGCAGGGTCCCGCTTGTAGTTTTAGTTGTATTCATTATGTATAAAAGAAATCATTATTTTTATGTTCAATAAAATTTAGTTCCTTTTTTGCAATCTGGTTAATACTTTGTCTTATTTTCTATTTTGGATTTTTGGATTTTTCACGTTTGTCGAAATACATTTACATGAATATTTATTTGCTGGGTATTATAGTCTGCTGCTACCTATCATTGATTGCCTTATTATTATTTGAGAACACTACCCATTGTCCTACCAACGATAACCCGAAAAACAAACATATTCATATCACATTTTGGAGACCTCGCCGTGATCTTTTAAAGGCGAGGCTGCTGTGTCTGGGGACTACTACGCCGGTAATAAGCGGTTTTATAGGGATTTCAATTACCTGAAGGCTTAATAAATCGTTCTTTTGTTACTCTTCCTTGAATATAATCTAACTCCCCAAAGTCTTATGGAAAGTATTAGATATCGCGCGAATCGGGGTTCTAAAAAGGACTCAATTTTATTAGGTTTCAAGTTTTACGACTTTATATTGACGATGTGGGTGGGCATAGGGATAGGCATGTGAAAGGTGACGTAAAGGGGATATAATCTCAAATTGGTTCCAAAACGTTTGATCGATTGTTCGTTCTTACTTGTTCCTTAACCTCTCTACGTGACTCGTGCTACCATATCACACTACAACCCTTTAGTCATAAGAGGGCACCTTCTTTGCATAAAAATTTAAGTCAAGTGCTAATCTGGTTCGAGCTTTATACATTTTCATTTGATTCGCGTGGAACGGGAATGGAAGCCGCATTACATCATCGTTCACCTTGTACACATCATGTCCAACAGCTTTCTCAATCCTAAAAGGACCAATCCACCTAGTCAAAAGAGGCTCGGTACCATCTCGAAGTCGCTGTAAAACCATGACCAAATCTACTGGGTGATATTTTATTATGACAATCTTCTTATTATACCTATCGAACATCTTTACTTTGTATTTCGTAATATTCTATTTGGCTTGAGGGATCATTCGTAGTGTTACTTCTGCAATATCATGTATGCGCATCAATATGTACTCTTCAGACAGCTCTTCGTTTTGCCCTTTATCGAACAACTCTTCTTCTACTTCGGTTATTCCTCGAGGTACTCTACCAAAAGTAAGGAAGAAAGCAGAATATCCATGGTCGCTTCGAACAATTGTTCTCATGACATATAACGCCACAGGTAACCACGAACGCCAATCTTGAGTGTAGACCATAGTGAACATTTGCATAATACTTTTTAGAACACTATTTGCTTTTTCGACTTTTCCTTGTCCTTGAGGATGGTACGGTACACCATATCTCAATTGAACTCCATAAGAACTCATCATCAAAGCCATAACCTATTCAGCGTTAAAGTGCTTACCATTATCCATATGAACTTGCACCATCAAACCATGTGTATAGATCCACTCGAAAAGAGCTAGGCAAGTGAAACTCGCGCTTTGAGTTGGAGTAGGCTTACAGTCAGTCCATCCTGTGAACCTATCTATCATTACTAACGCCGAATTATTACCTTGGGCCGTCAATGGTAGATATATATAATCGATCGACACATGGGAGAATGGACCTTCTTGAGATTTTAAATTGACGGTTAGTGGGACCGGTGGATTCCTGGTCCAGAACTCTGACATATTTGGCATGAAGTAACATACAGTATCTCCTAATCGTATCAAAATATTCTGACCAGTATTACTTCTCTATGATGGAATCAAAGGTTCGAATGACCCCTTGATGACCAGCGAGTAGGTGGTCGTGGTTTTCTTTTAAAACTTGTAATATTTCATTTTGTTGTATTACTTTTCTTCTCTTAAAACTGCTGTTAGCCTTCTTGTACAAGAT